TAAATAAAATCACGAAAGGTCTACTTTCTCTCTTCCTCACAATATTTATAATGACCATCCAAACCAAAAAATTAAATGACAAGGAAGAAATGACATCTCTATTCCTTTTAAATTTTTTTAAATAAATAAAAAAATATTACTTCCGCTACTTACTACTTTATAACTTAGAAAATTATTTATTTAATTTACTTCTTATTTCTTATACTTTTATACATTCAAACGGGCTATTACAATATAAGAAAACTTATTGCCAACTTATTTAATTCTAGTTAGGCCCGGCCACAGATGGCGTAATCAACTTTGGGCTCAGCTAGTTTGGTCCGGTCCATGGATGGCCTAATTAACACTACATTTTTTTGCACAAGGACAGAATCTTAAAACCTTTGACCTCGGAAATCAAAGCCGAAGGCTCGATGATAGGTCTTGCAAGCCTTGGCCCATTATGGAGAATCATGGCCCATTATAGAAAATTGTTCTCAGGTCGCATGCTGTCGCGAAATTTGGGGGTCGACTCTGCAAAAATGAATGATGACAACCTTTTGATCTTGCAAAAGATATCGCTCAGTTGAGCACACCTGCAAGCACGCTGACCTCCACAATCATTCTCTGTTTCTTAAATAGTCCTCCTATAGGGGTTATTAGAAGTAAAACCCTAACAACTTTCAAAATCACGCTAAACCCCGATAAATTTTGCAATTGCGGAAAACCCTATTAAGTTTTCCTCATTTTGCAGATAACCCCCCTTAATTAGAACAAAAAAAAAACAACATAATAGGCATTTTGAAAGTTACTGGGGATTAACTGTAATTTATCTGAAGATGTTAGTGTTTGTTTGTAAAAGTTATTGGGGGTTTAGTGCCATTTTGAAAATTGTTGGGGGTTTACTCGGTAATGCAATGAAAGTACTTGGAGGTTTAATGTAATCTACCCTTAAATATGGTTGTCTCTTTGTAAAGTACGTAATTCTTAACCCGTCAGCGCTCATGATCATGTTCCGTCTGCCAAAGCAAGGAACTCAAGTCATTTTCCCCTTGTCCGTAGGCAACATAATTACCAATTAGCTTGAGACAGTTCTTTACTTAATTAGTTTTTTTTTCAATATTAGTTCTTGAAATAATTGAAATTACAATGAGGTCCCCCAATTCTTAAGTCAGTTCAGATTTACTTCTTTCAGATCATTGAAATTGCTATCGGGTCTCCTAATTGTCGTAAGTTATTTCCAGTTAGTCCCTACTCCAGTCAATCATGGAAACAACAACTTGAGGGATTAGTCCGAAAACAAGTTACGAGCGGGGGGCGTAATAACAATTCCCATGGTTTGAGAGACTAATTTCAACATATTAAAGATTTACGATTGATACCGGAAAAAACCAACCAATCAGGACATTCGTTTCAACATGTTATCCTATATTTTCAGAGCTGTATGTTTGGAATAAGGCCCCACGTGAAATTGCAACAAAACAAGCACCGCCCGTACCGACATAAAACTAACTTGAATCAACACATGCAACTTCAATTGCAATGTCGCAAACCAAAATCTAACCATCGCACTCTTCAGAAAAAAAAAATACAATAAAATAAAATTGCACCCTCCTTTCGCTCTATTGACAAATAACCTATTCTCCCTCAATCAAACAACATCAAAAAAAAAAAAAAAGGTAAAAAGAGGTACACAAAAAAACTCAAAAGCTTCAATGCATTTGAACATAGCATCACCCCCATGCCTCCGCCTTCCAAAGCTCTCCTCTTCACCTTCCTCGTTCCGATCCTCCTCATCCTCCCGTCTCCAACCCACCAAACCCTAAACCCTCGTCTCCTCGACCAACTCATCAAGGACTCCTCAATCCCCTCCTTCCCCTGTCGCCACAAACCTCCCGCTCTACAGAATCACCTCCCCTCAACCTCTCCTCCGTCTCCGCCCACGTCTCCACCTTCAGAGCCGACAGCCTCCGTCGCCACGGCGCGCGGATCGAGCAGCTCACCATCTCCCCGGGATCCATCTTCATCCACCCCCACGTCAAGAGGCTCCTCATAGTTCACCAGAACCTCAACAACCTCTCTTACATCTACAACACCGAGAACATCTCAGGTTAGTTGATTGCGTACCGGCCCCGGCCCCGGCCGCGTGCTTAATTATCGCCAAATTGTTTGCAGATAGACCCCCGGGTGAAAATTTTTTGACCCTCGTCAGGGGGCCTATCTACATGTGTATACGTAGACGAATGAAAAGAGTTCATTAATTTTCCTGACACAGGTTATGATTTGGCTTCTCCGG